TTTTGAATATGAATTGATTGGTCTTATTAATGGTCTGTCAGACGGATTCAGTATAGATATGTTGGACACGAATGACAACAGCTCTCAGTCATCGCTGGAAACGGTGATTGAGTCCAAGAACTCATCCAAAAGACGTCACGACAACCAAATGGATACCATTTTTGTCACCAATGAATCTAAAGTGAGTTGTCTTGTGATAACAGTATGAATACGATTGACATCTAATTAAATGCCATATTTGTTATGAATTGTTGATTCAAACAAATGGTAATTGTGTTGTGAATACAGGTATCGATGCGATCGAAGAATCCGTTTAGATATGAGAAGAGAATCGATGAAAATCGTAGCCAAAGAAGAAGTGTCGGCACAAAGAAAGACATGAATTTGACGAGAAATCTATTGAATGAATTGATTGACTCGACATTTGATAATCTCATTCAAACGATCGATGATTTAAGTGATTAAACATTTTTAAAGTTAACTATTTTTGCTATTGATTATAAAAATATTTAAATTTAAACAATATTAATCTACAAATTGTATTATAGTATGTGTTTATGTGCAATAGATTAGTGTAATCCAGACATTTATTCACTGCTATTTATAAATCAATATTATTTTTTGTCACAATTTATCTGTATTTAGAAAAATTTAAAAATTATATAATAATAATATATGAAATATTTGTATCATTGAAATAAAATTGAATTATAATATAATTACGAAATGGACTCTTGGTAATGGTAATAATATTTGGTTGGGAATTACATCTCATATTAAGACTTATGATAAGTTTGGCGTCAAATGATTTTTAAGCAAAAAATGTTGACTTTATTTGTCTTATTTATTATCAATTTTACGCTCTATTTATGCTTTCAATCAGTTTTTATTCCCAAATAAGTTATTTTCAATTTCTAGTTTTCATTACTAATAAACGTCTGAAACGTCTGAGACATCACTTCAATCGATAAATTATATTTATCTCTAACTCTGTATTGAGTTTGCCTTTC